CCCCACTCCTCATCACCATAAGTCTCATCATTTTGATGTAGATAAAAACAAGTGTAATACTGTGCCTTCTCATTAGGCGCACACGTAAAACAAACTACCCCTTAACTACATGTGCTAGGGTATTTAATAACGATAATGGGCGGGGTTTTTTCCCCTTTCTTTTGTGGAAACGTTTGATAAAGTGATCTATTTTGAAGTTTTGGAGTTCGATTAGATTTGTAAGATAATAGCGAAGGAACTCTGGAAAGATGGATTGACGCAAAGCTAAGAAGGAGCAAGACGTTTGACATTTTCTTGTTTTTTTCCCTCTCTCTTCTTAGTGGCACCTCTAAATGTATGGATAAAGATGAGGTCGCTAGTCAAGCAAAATACGTCGATTTCATGTTACCATGAATTCCAGGAGCCGTTCGAGAGACCCTCTCGCTTCAAAGTTCCTACTCAAGTAGGAATAGGCTTGGAACTGAACTCTGTTCCTTGCAGCTACATTCMTTTATCTCTGAATTATTAATAAAATATTTCATTTATTTTTCCGAATGAATTTTGTTCTTGTTTGAAAAGAATTATGACACACTAATAATTGAGAGACAACGTGTTGTCACTTAAACACCATGGCCGATCGCTTTTCATTTCGATCGCCGTTGAATTTCACTGAATAACTAAACAAATGTGTAAAGTATATGGTGGTGTTATGATTTGAATGCCTGAACCCGTCATATCACAAACCCATCTCTCCTTCAGTATAAATAATAGATACAAGTTGTGTGTATTTATTTGAAGGAAACATTTTACATCCAGGATGTAAAAAGAAAAACATTTTTGCTTGATAAAAAGAGTATTTATAAATGAAACAATAAACTGATAACTTGTTAGAAATGGTTTTAAAAAAAAAATAAATGAACGTGAATCAATAGACTATAATGTTTCAAAATTGGTTCACTTTAGTAAATTTCGCAAGTTTGACTAATCGAAAATAGTTGTTTTAATAGAATATTCTTTTAATTTTTCATGTGCTTACTTGGTTAACCACAAAATTCTTTTTCATTAAAGCCGGTAGGAGTAATTTTATTTAACGTCGGTGTTCCTTTAGCTATAACTGAATTGGCTGTTTTAGACCATGATCCACATAGGAAACGTTTGACTCCTTACTTTCCTCCCTCACCTGCCTCGCTCGATTAGACCTTCGCTTTAAGACAACTAGATAAGATGACATGGATTAGAGTAAAATCGAATTAAGTGGGTCAAATTATGCGAGGTTCAATTACCCCCTTAGCTACACTTGCTCTTCGTATTAGGAACTGCTAGGATAAGTGCACTGCAGTTATATTGCACGAACCATTCGCAAAACATGACATTAGTGTCCGTTAAATAAACCTTTTTTACTGATTATGCACCAATCTTGAATTATGGGATACAAACGGGGAAAACATGATTTTTTTTTTTTCATAAAGCATAGAGTGGCCAAGTGACGTTTTCACAGAGTGTAATTGATAAGTCTTAGTAGGCATCTAATGCGTTTACCACTCCTGGGTGGACGGCTTAACGCCTAACAGGCCTTGCGGCCCAATTGATAAGGCAGCCGGTAGATCGATTTAGAATTTAGAAGTTGATTTTTGTGGAGGGAGGAAAAACCTGAGAACCTGGAGGAAAAACCCTCGAAGCACAGGAGAGAACCAACAAACAACTCTACTCACATACACCGTTCTCATAATGGCTGATGAACGCACGGAAACAAGGTCACCCAGTCATCTTGCAAGGTTGAGTCAAGCTGCTCATTCAAAATAAATTTKGTTAGCGCTAATTCAGATCAAAACAAAGGTTATTTTTTATACTTTTCTTCTTTAAAGTCATTTCATGTAATTTTATATCTTTTATCGTGAAATAATGACTGGGTGACCTCGTTTTCGTGCACTTGTCAGCCATTATGATAAGGGTGTATACCACACCGAGACTGGGGGAGCTCGAACCCGGGTCGCATTGGTGAGAGGCGGCGCATTAGCAGCGCACGCCACCCCGTCTTCCCATCACATGTTGTTCCATCAGTTGTTACAGCAAATTCAAATTGCTTTTTAGATGTGCTTCTCCTTAAAAAATCTCAATTAATATAAGAAGATACCCTGGCAAACAGCAGTCTATAGATTCTCATATATTTGTCCCCTCAGCATTCCACGATGTCTTAACTTCATGTGCCGCATGGTTCTCCCGCATCCTTTCTACAAATGAATCATGATGACGATATTCCAATGTTTTGATAAGCAAAATCTCATGAAAACGTCTTTAATCTCTTATAGCTCTAAAACATGGACATCTCGGGCATCTCCCTCTTTTATTTTGTTTTTTTGAAAATATTAGGTAATACCTTTAGAGAAAAACAATCAGACGATGGGATCAAATAAAAATTACATAATTGTATTTTGAGTATAATCGGAATTTAACTTCAGGTAACGCGAAGGCTATACTTAAATCACAATAACCTTTTGTATTTCTAATCTTTAACACATATATTTTAAACGCTAACTAGTTATTAGGTTATTTTCTAGTCTTCTATGAAAAATGGGAACGACTAATTTATTTTTTTCAATAAAATATGACACATATTTGACAGCTTTCCATGTTTATGTTGTTCGCGTGTTTTTACCGTAAAAAGGGTGAATTTCCTCGTATTCTGACGGCTAAACGAAGTCGGGGACCCTATTTTTTATTTGCTTATTTTACTTCTAGAACAACGTTCTTTCATCGTGCAAAATTTAAAAAAAGATCTGACGATGTGATCTTTTGTCCATGAACGCCCTTTATTAAAACAATTAGAATATATTGAAGATGACCGCCGTACGTATTATTAGTAAAAAGCTCTAATTGTGAGCATCGACTTTCATACAATATCTTATCTATAACTAATTGCATTACTTAATGTCCTTTATTATAACCAAGCATATATTTTACTGTTTGAAATATGTTATTAAATTTTTCTTAAACCATTCATTATTTCCAGGTGAGCATATTCTATATTGTCAAAACTAGACTTGAATTATTTATAATTTATGATTGCGATATGATCTTTTTTACCTTTCCTGGAGTTGCGGCTTTTCACAATCCAACATTTTAATGATTTATTTATGATATTCGTTTCAAATAATATCAGTGTGGTCTAATGTTGTCAGTTCAACATTTGTACTCAATTATTCTAGAACTTCAAATTACTGCAAATCGTTATTCCCGTGCTTAATAGGCAATCGCTTCTGTATGAATAAGGGTCTTGCTTCTCATTAGATGTTTTAAAAACACAAATAGTATTAAGGAGTAAGAAGATAATTAAGGAATATGTTGTCAGATAGGAACCCCAGGATGCGCCAAGTTTAAATGAATTTCTAGAAAATGTAAATAATAAATAATTGAAACAGACACTTCACAAAACGAAACGAAACGACACCACTATATAGCAAATAGTGACACTAGGGACAAAAATAACTTTCTTTTAGTCGAACCCAAAAAGTCTTACCACACCAAAAATAAACTAAAAGCACAGATTATTATCTGTTATGATGGGGACTGGGTTATTTTATAACGTGAATTGTTTGAGTATATTCCCCCCCAAAAACATCTGTTATAGTTTTATATATAAAATATTTCCTGTCGTCCCCCTTGCCTTCCTTTCGTGTAAGATAACATTCTAAGGTACAAAGTGTAGTTTTCTTCAATTTTTGGTTTGTAAGTGTTGGAATTAGTGTTAGCAAAGCGCAGAATTTGAGTTGTTCGATGCGCCTTTGCGTCAAAGTCACAAGCTTCTTCCTAAGTTATTAAGTATTATGTGCTCATTAACATTTAAAGCCATTGTACATTGTACATTGACAAGCGATAACTAAAACGATTGAACTAAAGTCTCTTTACTCTTGGCATTCTCGACTCCGAATATGATAATTGATACCGAACTATTTATATGTGAAATTTGCCAATTGCAAAATACAGTATGATTCTCCTATTTTCCTTGTACTAAAGGACCAGTGTACCACCTGGTCATTCTGAATTTTGAAATTATTACTTCTGAATTTCGAAATTATTTTCCGAATTTTGAAATTATTTTCCGAATTTGGAATGTAAACTTCTGAATTTGAAAAGCACTTTCCGAAATTATTTTACAAAATTTTGAAATTATTGAGCTACTGATTTTGTGTTTGGAGCTCTGAATTTAGAATTTGTTTTCAGGTGATAACTTCTGAAATTTCTCAACCTCAATATCATGTCCATTCGAAGTTGCCAGGTTACTTTATTGTGAAAGAACGGCCATTTTAACCAGACAATATAAATCTTGAAGAATTTGTGGAAGAAAATTTCATCACAAGTCTCATCGAGAAGAAATTTTCCTACGAGGCAATCAGCAGAAAGGGAATTAGTGTTAGAAGTATGCGGAGGTACTGTACAGAGAGGGACTTAAACCCTAAGAGCTTGCGTTGGGTTCCAGATGATGCAATGAAGGAAATGACCATCCAAGCCAATATCACACAGTTGTGATAAGTGTTGGTGGTAAACCCAAACTTGTTCCTTGGAATTCGAGTACAACAGCTTAAATTCCCCCCATGGTTGTTGAGTCTGCCAACACTCAGAAAATCTCGCTTTTTTCCATCCACGTGACAAACTTTCCCACCACCGGCCTGCTTGAAATCGAGGATAATGGTTGACAAGCTTTGAAGCACGACATTTAGGCTTTAAAATTTCAAAATTCAGAAATCCCCTATCACATAAAAGACTATGTCGTTGCGGATCTTCCCGATTAACGAAAACGAGGCTCAAAAATTCCAAAATTCGGAATTCAATTTTAGCATATAAAAAAATAGATTATTCCAAACTTCAGAAATAACAATTCGACTTGGCCTGCTGTTGCACTGATTCTAAACCATGTAAACCCCTCCTTCTTATTTTCATTGTTTAGTTTCCCTTTTTTTCGGGGACGGCTTTGAAATGTTCCAGGGAAGATTTGGGAAAAATGACCTTGTAAAAAATATGCATGGGAGATATATATTGATTGGTATGCAAGAGGAACTAGATAAATAACATTAAATTTCGCAGTGGCACTTCTAGAGAGAAACTCATCATTCAATTAAAAAACCCCGAGAAAAACCCTATATGCACCGCATACGAATGTGTAGGAATATCTAATACTAAACAAAAAATTCCCTTGCATATTAAATTAACAGTGGTTTCCGCATGCAAATAGACTTTCTCAAAGTTTTTTTCTTCGTTCGCAAAGAACTCGCACTTCACGGGAGGTGTGAAATCCTTATCTTTTTCGCGTATTTGCCTTATGGCAAGTGTAGGTCACTTATAAGTGCAAGTCAGAGTAGGATCCACCTGTATCCCAAAATGCATTGCGAGTGAGATACAACGTTTTTTTCATTAAAACAGCTAAAATAAATATTTTGGAAATTGAAAAATCAATTTTACTTAATGTTCGTAGGCAAATTAAGTTATGAAGTTGCTATCAGGCTTTTAAAACTAGGCATAAACATAAATAACATAAATTTGGGGTCAAACATTCTCTTGCAATCAGAATTGTTTAGATTTACATATTTTGTAGATTTTGGTAGTATCTTGATTTTAAGACAAAGAAAAAAAAAGTTGTTAGTAATGATATCTTGCTCATCAAAACATTCGATTGACGTCATCACGACGAGCGCACGCGCACTAATTAAACTCGTCATGGGTAAAAAGCTGAGCGCGAGAAATGCCCTCGAATGTTCTTAAGGATGGTGGGTACAGTTGTCAGCGCGCACTTTTACTGCGCACATTACGCAATCCACAGGAACTCCAATGTTTTCAAAAATATAAACAGCACTAACTCGAAATCTTTTTTTTGTTGTTGTTGTTTTAATAGCAATTTTTTCATGGGTGTCTATATGGGATAGTTTAATAGTACTGTAAAAATAAAAGTCAAAGTTGYGAAAAGGAGAAAACGACGACTAGATGGTAGATTTGTCAGAAATAGAGTACCGGTGAAGCGACAAACACTAGATGAAAAAGATCAAGCGAGAAAAACTTGAAAACAAACACCAAATATTATTGAAGGAAAGCGAATTATTGAGTTAGATTACCTGATGGAGCAGTTAAAAAGCGGGTGTAGTAAATGTAAAGAGGCACTTAAACTTCATGAATTGATCGACGAAAAAAAGTTTGGACTCTTGGTAGTTTGTTTTACATTCAATGCGAATGCGGAGTTTTCTGAAATTTCACCTACTATAAACCACTTAGTTTCTTCTATGACAATCTTGAGGCTTTATTCAATTCTGAGTTATCCCTACAAGGTTTTCTTATTGCATTCTCTAGAACAATTTAGTGACCGTATTCCTCCAGGAGTTTTTTATACTTTATAAATTACCGCAGTCTTATATATTAGATCCTTTTCAGTTTTGGGACGTGAGAAGAGCTCGTTGTTTGTACTATTGTGTGTATTTAATACATATTATTCCAAACTAGTCTTTCTACATGGCAAAGTTAACGACTCTTAAACTCCAGAATATGAGTTCGGTAAACAAAAGCAGAAATTGATTAGAATAACAAAATAAGGAAGTTTTGGATTTGTCCAATGTATGTGGCTAAGACCACATRCACTGGAGTTTAAGAATCCTCAGTTTTTGGGATATTTGCTTCTAATTTTGGAAACTCTTTCCCAACTTAACTTTTCTTAACTTAAAGACGCATCACTCAAATCAAGAGCTATTTTAACATCCAACTATTTACTTCATGTATAATCAGTACTCAAAGTATTGTTAAAGGGCTCGTGTACACGTGGTGCACCAAAAGCGCTACATGGCTATTAATTTTTTTAAATCGATATATGGCGTGCAATCTAATGCTTTGATAATGTTCCATGCGGTGAGATAACCGCCTCAAAATAATCGAAATAGACATCATCTTCACTACCACTAAACGGCTCCCAAAGCAACCCTGAACTGTTCTCATAAGCACTGTCATTTGCTGACGACGAAACTGAAGGCAAGGACATCAAACAATTTTTGATGTCTAACAAGCTGCCTTTAATGTCCTCAAGCTGCGCATTCTCGTCTTCGTAGTCACTTTCGCTTGTATTAGGATATTCTTTTTGGGCAATTGGTATGGGATGATCATCCTTGTGTGCATTACTTAAACTCCAGTCAGAATCAAAGGATGTCAGACTTGGAGTTGGGGATAATGATGTTATCGTGCATTCTTTTCTCGCTTCCTGAATATCATAAGGGCTCAGAGGTTTATAAGAAATACCTAGAATATCAGAATAATCACAATGTAGGACGACCTCAGTCGGAATAACGTGAAAGCAATATCCATTGCTATCTTCAATGACTTTAAAGTTGTAATTTCCTTGGCGTCCTCTTAGATTTTTGTCGTGAAGTGCTTTTTTGAATTTCATATATTTTGACCTTAAAGTGGCAGTTGACAAAGAGTGACAGCGATACTTTTCCTCTGAAACGTCGTAAGCGCCTCTTTTTCTACGGATAATCTTCTTGACCGTCATCTTTGCTTTCATTATCGTTTGGTCTGCAAGGTTTTTGAGAGACGCAATCAGTAAATCTCCAAGTTCAGCATCCGAAAAAGTTTCAAAGGAGCCCCGAACGGATGAATAGCATTCATTTAATATAGAAATGAACATGTTCAAAAGGAATACATTAGCCACAAAGATATAAGAAAATGTGTATATTGGTCCAAGTACTGGATCAATAGAACGAATTGCAGTAAAGTAAAGTCGGCCCCCGATGAGTTGCTGAAGCAACGTTCCAATTGTTCGTACGAAGGTGGAATACGTAAGGAATACAGATCCAAAACATGTACTGGCTATCTCGGTAAATGCAAGGATAATGACCACGAACGATACCATATAAGAAGACAGGAACTTTCCAGATATCTTTAAAGTAGACGTCATCTGGCAAACATGGCTATTGAAACGAATAAGCCGTAAGCATTTTAGAGTCGTAACGAAGATAACAAATGATAATACGTAAGCCTCGACATCTGACCATAAAATTAGAATGTCAGAGCTTGTTGTTTCGTAGGGATTGTGTTGAATTCTTTGAACAAAAGCTGTGGTGTACTTTTGCTTGAAGAAGAAGATGACCACTGTTGCCATTGAACCAAAACACTGGGATAAACTAAACCAATTCCACACTTCTAGAAAGTAGTCCAAGCGACCTTTAAAGATTCGAACGAGTTCAACGACAAACAGTAGAATTACTACAATCATAAACAGAGGCAAGAATGCCTGGCTCACATTAGATGATCCTGCTTTACGAAAATAGACGGGAATGGTATGGAATTTGGATACTAAATTCAATCCTCCAGTAGGAAGTCTTTCACACAAAAGTCTTACACTTGAGAACAAATGGCTACTTGGTTCAAATATGGTAAATTCTACCAAAACAGCAACAGTTAAGTTGTCTAGCCACCTATTTTGATGTAAATTTGTTAAAACGTTCTGGGCAGTTTTGAGATCGTAACCAAGATCGGCAACAAAGCCGCCTCCATAATAAACGGACGCTCCTCCTCCTATGGGAAGCACCGACAGTTCTCTTGCTGTGTGGTAACGCCAAGGTTTTGGACACACTTTTTCCAATTTGAAGAGGGAATGGTAAATTGATGTATTTCGAATAGGTGTCCACCCAATCAAATTGTACCTTGATGTTTCTTCTTTTTTGGCTGAATAGGAAGATATGCACCTCTTGAAGTGTAGTATTTCTATCGAAGTCGTACCATCGAGACAAAGTGGATCTAGGGTGCAAAAATTAAGTTAAAAATGTTAATCCATTATTTGACAGACGTTTTAAACGGAAAACTACTAACTAAGCAACCTACCCATAAACGAATGACTGTACGAACAAACGAACAAAAGAACGAGAGAAAATGCATTAAAATTAAGAAAAGCCTAGAATGATGCTAGGACGTGATTTATGCATAACATTGATCAACATGTTTGTCCACTTTTCCCCCCTCAAAGTGTCGTTACCTGGTTTTATTCTAATTTGTCTCAGTCGAGGCATGCCAACTAAAAACATGTCTCTGTTGCCGATAAAGCCTTCGGGTCCATTAAAAGCTTGATTGTTGTACCACGTGATGTTGTACACCTCTTGAAGAAATTGATTTCTTGTCCAAGCCCAGAACATTTTCAGATTAGTGATCTGTTGATAAAGAAATAAAATTATTCTAACCACACGATGATATAGAGGTAGCTGCGAGGATTTTGCGCGCCTAATCAGTTCACCTGATACATATATGTTATTTACCGTTCTATAATCGGTCCGGATAGGGAAAAACTGTGCCCGAGGTCTTGAATATACGTTTGCAAGACCGAGAGCACAGTTTTTCCCTATCCCGACCGATTATAGGACGGGAAATAACTTATTTATTTTTTCCCGTATGTTTTTTACTTGTTTTTGTAATCCTTTTGTGTTGTCGTTTAGCGGCAAAGGATACCGGACCGCGCGCGCGGGCAGATACTGACATACCGCCCGCTCAAACAGCCAATTAGAACGAACGATTTTTTAGGATACCGGACCGGAAAAAAATAATGTTTGTTATTTAATTTATTAACTGGATAAATTTTAACCGTTAGACAGCACTAACCCCTCCCTCCCTCCTTCGTACAACTGGGCCCTGGTAATAGTTCTGTGTGATAAATCCTTTTGTTAAAGTACCACAGCATTAATTGAGATGGTAAGTTTAAAAATGTTAGTCATTTGCCGAATTATTTATTTTTACAGGGAAAAGATCCTTTAATACAAACCTTTTCAAAATTTTTAAAAGTGTTCTTCAGGCAATCAGTTATATTGAATCTTGAGTTTCCTCGATTTCCATAGACAACGATTATAAGCAGTATAATAAAGAAGACGAAAAGAGCAATCTCAATAAGTGCCAGTGTGAGCTTTAATTTTTGGGATTTGAAGCGACGGCTGTTTTCTAGCTCCTCTGAAGAAGGATGTGAAGCAGTCCCCTTAACCGAAATCCTCTTTGCTTTTATTGGTAGAATATTCACAGTGTCGTGGTCTTCGGGACGCCTCAAAATGAGAGATAGCAAGAAAGCTACAAAAACGATTTTGACTGGCTGAATTACACACGAATCTTCTACCAGTGATACCATTATGGACTTTAGCCATTGATTGGAAGTACTGGTACCCCATTGAAGACTGTAAAACACAATAAATGCAGAAGATACAGCGGCCAGTGACAAACAAAGTACCCATGCTATGTAAAGAAAGAACCCTGGTAAAACTCCACTAGATGTTTTTTCTAGCTCTACATCGTTATCTGTAGTTGTATGGTCCAGATGCTTTATATTTTTGAAGATAAGCACCAATAGAATGTTCACTGGGACGGCAATGAAAGCACTTTGCATTCCTATTTTTATTTCAGTCCAACTTATCTTGAAACTACCAATGCGTATTGTATCTTTAGGCTCTATCCCGAATCTATAGAACATTGCGTTGGTTACCATAGCAGCAAATATGATTGACAAACAACAGGATAGTCTTTGACATCGCGTGAAGGGATTTTGTGGTGGTCGACTGAATAATGATATCCACAAGTGTGATTCTCCCAGTTTCTTACTAACTCTGGAATGAAAAGCGCTCATAAAACCTATACTGCCGTCAGATTTGGTATCTTTAAGTGTGCATTCCAATTTTCCGTCGTGTTTGTGGACAGCAATCCAACGATTAGCTAAAAAGAACCATTTCTCATCTGAACTCATATCAAATATCAAAATGTCCTTCAGAAACCATGACGGATCCGAACCTCCATTGTTGTGCTGAACTTTAACTTGGTAAATGTTTCCTAGTGAATATGGCAAAGAAATGATGAACGTATTTACGCTGCTTCTAGAAAAAAAGTATTTATCAGTTTCTGAATTTGTAAGCTGAATCATGCCAGAAGTGTTCGTTGATCCGTAGATAGCAATGCTGACGTCAGCGGTAGTACCATTACCAAACCACATGCCAGTTTCTATGGATATCTTATATTGATAAGTAATCGAGCAATCACCCTCGCATGGAATCACTTCCACAACAACCTGAAATATTGGAATAAGAAAATCATATTTACTAAATTTATGGTTGATAAAACGAAACTATTATGAATTTGACAACAACCTACAAGGAACTATTTGAATTAAGAAGGCGTAGCGATTATGGGGGTGGAGAAGTACCATTTTCCCACCAAATCCACAGGAAACCCGCACGACGAATGAACAACATTTTGTTGCCAAAAGCAAACTTTTTTGGTGGAAAGGGGGGAAGGGGAATGATGGGGGAGAGGGGAGGGGNGGGGGGTGGTGTGGTCACGTGCCCCTCAAGTTATAAAAATCAAATATCAAATCAATCAGATCCCACCATCATCTCAATAATCGCTGAACAATGCTTTTCCTAACCAGTTGCAATGAAAACACATAGTAAATATGCTGCAAATGACCTTTTTCTTGTCCAAGATATCAGCTCTTCTGRCAACCAGTAGCCCTAAAACGTACAAAGCCCACAACACACAGACAGTTGACAGAACTACATAATTTCCGGTTTCACCAAGCCGACCAAATTCCAAGAAAACTTTATCAAAGTCGATGGGATTAGGAGCTACGAAGAAATCGCCTCCAAAAGCAGACAAATGATTACACAGACAGTTGATCTTGCCATTGCCTGACATTTTTCCAACCTGTTAACATTAAAAAGCAATAACAACTTTGATAAAAATGATGATGATAATGATAATAATAATAATAATAATAATAATAATAATAATAATAATAACAACAACAACAGGAACATTAAGAACTTAAACAAATGAACAGAAAAAAAAGTAGCGCAATTAGGTAAGATTAGATTATTGTATGGCAATTAATATGTCAGTATGAAGTCTTACTAGTCCGACTAGTACTTTTACCAGGAAAAAACTTGTATTATATCTAATTATCTCGAGGTTGGAATAAAATAATAAAGGGTTCTCTTTAATAAGTAAAAATACTGATCAAACTCTATCGTCGCGTGTTTTATCAACAGAATACTTTTCTACTTCCTTTGCCATATTGAATAGATATAAAAAATGAACGAGACGGACGGTGAGTTGTTTATTTTTCTATTGACAATAAGACATCGCAGTGTCTTTCATCGTTCTGGAGGATGCTACAAAGTGCTTTCCGTTTTCCTTTTCAACTTTTCTGTTCAGTTGAGTTTAGTTTGTAAATATGTCGTTCACCGTTCATCTCTTTTTGATGTTCGTTAATGAATATAAAATATTCAATATGATACAGAGGAACCGTGAAAGAGACTACTATGTAGATCTTATAGTACTTACTTTGCATCCGTCAGTTGTCCATTTTTCCTTTTCCTCAGACCAGTATCCGCAAAAAGACACCGTTGATGTTAGTGTGTAATTCACATCGGTGTTCACATCATAAACAGGAATAATTGTGAGTGGCGTAGGAGCCGGAGTTGTCGGTGGATCCTTTACACCAACACATGATCTCTTTTTTCTTCTTCTGCTGTCTTCACAGTCTCTTCTTTCACGCAATGAGCGTACTTCTTGACTCCGACTTTTGTTAACGTCAATTGAGTTAGAATCTTCCATAAGATATTGAATACCAAGGTAATGGATCCCTAATTTCCCGGTCATTTTGCTTGTGATCCTGATAACAAAAGGGTCAGTGCTGCATTCTATCAAGGTGTGGTTCCGTGGAGGATTACATGGTGTAAAGTCCGGTATCCTTCTTGTAAGATTAAAATGTTGGGTGGTAGGTCTTTGGCCAGAGCGTACGTACACGTTCAGTGAAACACCAAGATCGGGAACAATTTTAAACTCTACGGTATGTAATTTAGAGTTCAAGTTGAAAGAATGATATCTTAAGTTGTTAGACCCATTTGATGGCTTGGCGAAGTATTTTGTTTCGGGTCCAGAGGTCGGAGTGGCCTCCAACTTCTTTGTTGCAACTGTGATGCCTATGGGCTTTTCCAAGTTTGATACAGACATTTTCCCCGAACTTAACTTTAAATTTATATCTAAAACACTTGATGTAACAAGGTTGGAAGCAGAATCCCAAGCATATGGGTTTTTGGAATGCATAATCATCTACAAGAAGAAAACAAAGATTTCAAATGAACATGAGTCTACTTAAAAATACAAGTTTCCACGGCAAACATTAATTTCAAGGCAGTTTTTCTAGTAGCCTGCGTCACATCCGGAAACTTCGGAAAATTCCGGATGTGACGCAGGCTATGTTTCTAGTCCTTATGAATACAGCACACTAGACCACTGGAATCTGGATAAAAGGGTGGTGATGGACAATTAAAGCTCCTCAAAGTAGTGAGATAATAAACGTTATATACCAATAAGCTCTTGCTTTTGAACAATTGCTTTTGAGCTTTTGACACCAGCACTAAGCCGATATGTTCTGTTGGTGTATTTCCGAGTTCGGTTTGTGAAATTCGACGAGAATCCCTTGATAAACTTTTTGCACATTAAGTGTGCGCTGACCATGATTAGTGGCCACCGTTTCGACTAACTCATCCAAGGGAGATTACCTGAAAATCAACGTACGGGGCACTGCCATTCTTCCCAAACAAAACGTCCATGGAAGGAAGTTGGACTCCACTGTTTCCTTCGGAAATTGCTTTGCCGCTAATATCAGATGGCTCTGCTCGATACACTAAGATATCGATGCTTTTTGATCTAACTACCGTAGGGGAATCCCCCACTTCCTTCATCGATACAAGAGCGTCTGCAATTGCGTTTGTTATCTCAACAGCTTGCTTTGTATCATTTCTAGACTGAAAAGGGAAAATAATTAGTTACTTATGCTGGTATAACGTCTGCTAAAATGTTTATTCCTGACAACAACAACAACAACAACAACAACAACAACAACAACAGCAACAACAACAAAAAATCACTTGCAAACAGTTTAATGCAGGTTATTCAGAGTTTCCTCTAACTGTAAAAAATATTTCATAAGAAAAATTACTGCTATACATTACTGTATAAGTAATAGTACACTCAACAAAATTACTCGACTCTGATTATTTTCTATCATTTTATACTTTAAAAAAAATACATGAAATTTTAAAGCCGTAAGAATTAATCTTTTTTGTGCATTTCAGTTGCGCGATGGACTGAAAATCGGCCGCCAAATAGACAAAGATGAACGGCATCGCTTCGCAATTTTTACTAGAATTTTGTTGAGTGAACTATAAACAAAAAATCGCACGATCTTCTCGTACAATTTGGAATTAATAGACACTCGTAATGTTTTAAAAGTTCTTTAATTGCACTTGCCTAAAGGCTCGTGCAATTACAAGAACTTTCAAAACATTACTCGTGTCTATTAATTTCCAAATTGTACTCGAGATCGTGCGATTTCCTAGTTAAGAAACTACTGGTCCAAGATATTATGTGCTTAATACCTGAATATCATTTTCTGCATTTGATGACGATATGATCTTTCCAATCCCTAGCAACGCTGYTGAGCTGATAGTAGATAAGATTTTCAAGTTACCAACTATCGCATTTGACTTTCTTGCCATAGCACTTGTAGATCGTTGTAGCAGTTTTATAGCCTTTTCCTGCAAGAGGGTGATTATAGAATGGTTAGATTTTCATCTTACACGATACGTGTTGTATTGTTACTTTCATAGCATGTGTCGAACATTTGTGATAAACAATGAAGTCGTCACCTGAGAATGTCATTCAGTGACGGTAGCGCATTATTACCTTATGCATCGGAAAGGTCGGACAACATTTCAACTCAACAAATGTTCACATTTTAAGATGGTTATATCAGTATACTGTCTAAAAATTAACATTACTTTAAATTAATCAATATGGAAACGTCTTGCCTTACGAAGCAATTAACTTAATTTCGAAAATTGTGCATAAATTGAAATATTTAAATGATGATTATAGCAATATAATAATCATTTCTATCACAATATAGTTAACATTATGTAGTGTTTAATAAACGAGTAGGAGTGTTTTATCAGGTATAAGAGCACGAGGCGTAGCCGAGTGCTTTTATACCTGATAAAACACGATCTACGAGTTTTTTGAACTGCTTAAAACACTCATGAACAATTTATAAGATTTTGGTTCAACTGGAGCCACCATACACGTCACGAACATGGATTTTTATACTTTGATAGAGATTTGACGACACGGGCATGCGCAACCAGATTCAATAGAAGCTCCCACACGTTGGATATTGCGTGCCAAGGCAAAGTCTGGCACGTTAGTCAAAGATCATTAGGGTTGACTATGACCTTGATGAAGCTCTAAGTCTTCATCTAAACTTGGATGTATGCATGCTTCATCCCTGATGAAGTCATCCTCATAGTATTCGAGTGGTCTTTATATAAAGATCACATGTGTCTTTATATAAAGATCACATGTGTCTTTATATAAAATCACTTGAATACTAATGAAGAGGACTTTATCGGTTATAAAGGTTCATGCACGTGACGTGTATGGTGGCTCCAATTGGACCATAAGCTTATGAATTATTAATGAGTGTTTTAAGTAATATATACAGTATGAGTGGCCGTGTTGTATCAGATATATTATACACGAATACTGTATATTACTTATCAAACGTCTTGGTTAGTTCCTTTGTGTTTCACTAAAATCTTCAAAATTAAAATGAATCTGGCCAAGAAAATCCAACTTAAAGTTTATGTAAATGAACACAATTTTGTATCAGATTTATAACACTCTTCACGGTCGTGATTTCTGTTGTGTTTTATCTCAGGAATTATTAATGAGTTTGACAATAATTTTTGAACTTTTGGATATTAGTAGTTTGTTAGCTTTCTTTCTTTCTTTGTTATAATGGAAGATATTAGATTGCAATCGTATTTAATCATTCTAGGTTTGACGTGTTTATTCTCGCCCTTAACCTTTGCCGAAGACAACGCTTCTTTGGGTTTTGGTATTTTGTACGATTATGTATGTTTATTGATTATTAAACTTGCCACTAGCGTGGCCAAAATTAGTCCAAAACCAATGTCCCCTGTCTTCTCTTTCGCAAACTAGTACGTCGCGACGTAAGGCCTCAACGTTAGTTAAACTTTGGTCTAAATAAGTTTACAGAATGTTTGGACATAAATAAAGTTTATGTAAGGTATAATATTAATCAAAAAAGTCTGATCTTAAACAGAGAAGAAAGAGAGATTGAACAAACCCATATCGTGCTGCCCTAACAAGTAGATTTTTGTGTTTGTTGAGCAGGCCATGTAATCCTTCTGTACTTAATGCGGAACGTTTGAAGGGGATAAAGATCCTGTGGTAAAGTGTTATAACCTTCTCCGATTATAACAGTTTACGTAGGAAAATTGATATAGCTTGATATAGAATTACTTACTATAGATCGTTTGTTTAAAGGTCCCTTCTGGTTAGTTGCAAAGGCGACAACAGCAACGACTTGTGTTATTTCAGGAAGATTTTTCATCTTAATATGCTCAATGCTGATGAGTATATCCTCTTTTATCTGTAAATACAAATATAAATAGCATTATTATAGTAACAAAAAAATTGCAACTAAAAGATAAAGCTGAGGAAATCAAGGAAAACTAAGATAACTACAGAAGCTACTGCTACTGCTACTGCTACTGCTACTGCTACTGCTACTGCTGCTGCTACTGCTGCTGCTACTGCTGCTGCTACTGCTGCTGCTACTGCTGCTGCTACTGCTGCTGCTGCTGCTACTGCTACTGCTACTGCTACTGCTACTGCTACTGCTACTGCTACTGCTACTGCTGCTGCTACTGCTACTGCTGCTACTGCTACTGCTACTGCTGCTGCTACTGCTGCTGCTACTGCTGCTGCTGCTGCTGCTGCTGCTGCTGCTACTACTACTAATAATAAGTATAATAAGTATAGGTGTATATACAACACGGTTTCGAGTTCAATTTACTTGGGATTAAATTGCACGAGTGTGTACTTCAGAGAATTCGGAAATTGCAAATTATTCGAAATCGTGTTATTACTTATTATTAACATACATGAAAAAATTACRATTTAAAGACTGAGACGAAATTTTTTGAAATATTCAACGCATAAGCTTAACATTTTATAATATTCGTTCGTTCACGACCAACTATATTCAAAGCGATTTTGTTTTCAGATACATGTAATTCAAAGATTTTATTACTTATTCTAAAGAAAAAATTGGCTATGTGTTTATTTTAAAAAGTTTTTTTTACTGTTCAGTAAATCTGAATCACTACGAATGAAGACATTTGGATTGGCTGATTTTGCAGCTAAACCTCTAGTAGGAAGTTGGAGAACTTGTTCTAAGTTATAGCAAGATAATAAATCAGACATATTAAATTGATTAGCATAATCACTATGGTTCAAAGCCACATAGGCCGAACGTTAATCCAGTGCACTTTTTACTCGGTCTTCCGCAGGAACCCTATAGCTATAGGGTTTAGCTATATTCGAGCACAAACCTCGAAAAGACTGCCAAAACTATGACTAGTGACTCAACAGAAAACTATGACACTGAAATGGATGTTGAAATAACAGAAAATCTCCTTGAGCAGAATCTCGAAGGTGAAGCAAAAAACAACAAGCAAATCGCAATATTGGATAAAGAATATAGTAAGCGAAGCAACTTGAAAAGTAAATATCTAAGTTTAACTTTCTTATTAAATATCCTGATTCATTTGTGTTTTTTTTTTGCTGTATTCAATAGTCGTAAAATACGATTTGATTTTGCACAAATAACCATTTGTGACATTTGTGTTTATATCGTACAAGCGATTGTGAACATTGGTTTGTATTACGTATGGAGTCGCACGTGCTTAGTAGAAGACGTGGTAAATACTCTTGGTGTCTGTAACATAAATGATGTTTTAGTGTCAATAAAGGTACAAGAATTCAGATCTCTTTATGCAAAGTATGTATTTCATAATTGTCATGTTGAATGTGATAGTCATGGATCTAGACTCGATCATGAACCAATCAGGGTACCAGTGAACAGATTAAAACGTGGTTTTCCAGAAAAACAGAAAACTAAGGAGTTATGTATGCAGAAATTTAAGTAAAAACACGCCTAAGTTATCGAAAGTTCTTTGTCTTGTTAAAAAAAAATTGCAACGAAAAAGAGAAGTGTACAGTACAAACCAGGTATCAGATTTGTACAAAAAATGAGAAGGAAACCAATATTTAGAACAGGAAAACATAACTCTTCAATGAGATATGTTTACAATTCCAGTACAGATAAATATAGGGATAAGTATATCAAATACATAAGGTGGTTTTCGTGTAATTTCCCAAATAGTGAGTATAAGAGTTTAGATCATAAAAGCAACTGTGCAAATTACAAGCTTTTTAATGATATAGAGAAAAAACCAGGTCCTGTCACCCACCATATTATGTTAACTGCTAATAAAACAGTAAATGCAGCATATAGTCAAGGGGATGTAGTTATATTTGGAGAAAATGCCAGGCAACAATGTGTTGCAATGAGTTTATGTGCTTTAATTTATCACCAAATAAAAGGGATAACCAACTCTGATGACTTAAAACAAATCATGCATATTGGGGATCAATTGTATAGCAGTTTGTCACAACTTGCACAACAATCGTTTTTACTGCTAACAGAATTACCAGCAATGCTTACAGTATTAGAGGGAAATTACCAGCTAGAATACAGCGAAAGTTACACTGGTGATGTTCATGGTGAGTCTACCATTGAAGGATATCAATATTGCAGGGCAAAATGCTGCAATTTTCGTAATAGAAGAAGAAGCCCGAGTACACGATCATGGATCGTCTAGTTCGTATTTTAGTACTGTTTTGCAGTAATCCCTTCCCCGACGTGATGTGGTTGCTTTCTTTGGTGTTATTCCCACCCTTGCTCCCTCGCTCCCTTGATCTGTTTTGGTATGTCACGGGTAAACTATACGGACAAATTTGCATATGGTTACATATTCATGACGCGGAAAGTGAAACAATGGCTATAAATGACAATAATTATTCTTCAGTAAATCACTAAATAGCTTCATGACATGGTACTTTGTAGAGCTTCCCAGGTTTACTTATATGTTTCTCAAGCAGGGCCCTGTTGTACGAAGCCTAGATAGCGATATTCGGCGGATAAATCTTATCCAGTGGATAAATTGATTGGAAAACAGCATCAACTTATCCACTGGATAAGGATTTATCCCCCGGATAGCGCTATCCAGGCTTCGTACAACTTGGCCCAGGAGTCAGTGGAACCGCCGTGAATAGAATACAATTTGATCGCAAAACGTATTATAAACTATTACTGTATAAAATTAACAGACCAACAATCGTTCTTGCCTTGTTTTGGACGCTTGATTCATTTTCAAAAATCCTTTCAACCGTCTGTATTAGGGCCAAAGCATTTTCTGCAGTCGTGTCTGTTTTGCCGTTATTAACAAGTGATCCAGCGGTTTCCTTAAAATTCTGAAACAATTTTTGGAAATCTTCCACATTGTTAGATGGCTCCACCTGTGGCAATAAAATATAAGAAATATTAACAAACAAAAAAAAAAAAAAAAAAAAAAAAAAAAAATCAAAAAAAACCCTTCGATTGCAAGCTTGTATATTCATAATCTTTTTGGGACTGATTCGCATCAACTTTGTCCCTTTAATTTCAAACGAAAGTGAAGGGRAAAAAGGAAGAAGCAAAGAGACCACAAAGTGGAGGGAGACATTAGAAGCGCACACCACCTGTCATTCACAAGAAATGCAGATAATAAATAACCGCTAAAAAGGTAGCGCTTTTGAACATTGTTTTTTCCTTTAATCATCCCAAGTTGTTAGAATGCTTATTAATTTTTAATTCTCATTTACTCAATAGCTTGCATTGATATGACTTACAAAATAAAAGTACTCAGTACAGTAACATCTTTGCATTCCTGAATAGGATCTAAAATACGATCACAGCGTTTTGAACGCATTTTCATGATATCGATTGGAAATACCTTTACAATTAAATCTGCTTTACTTTCACTTCCTCTTGCATCTGTTATAACAACTTCTAATTTCAAGTTGTAGTCATAAGTTACTTGTCCAGGTGGTAAAGTTGTGCTTACATTTGGCTCTGGTCCAGAGTGAAATATAACGGTCGAAAACTGTCCATGGTAAGAGAATCGATAACTAAGTGGCAAATGCTCGTCGTACCATCCACGGCAACGCAGAACAAAAATGGTTGATATTCCTATTCCTCGAGAGGGAGACACAAAGCATCCCCCTGTTTCGCTGTTCATCAGACGGGGACCTCTATTTACTTTGAACAAAGTCGCATCTTTCGCGATTAACGAGTTCGAGTTTTCCATAAGCAATACTTCAACTTTGAAGGTTACAGTTCCCCCTTGCGATGTTCGTAATTGGGTCTTTAAACTTTCTATTGTAAATCGAGTTCCACCTTTGGCTTTTGCAGAAGAAACATTCTCCAGCTTCATCCACTTGTTTGACAGTGTATATTTCCTTTGATAGACGCGCCATTGATAACTCGAGTTTCCTTTGCAGTCGTAGCCAAAGCATTTAGCATTAAAAGTAATTCTTTCGTTTGAGGTGATCTCTTTATTACATTTAACACAGCTGTGGATGTATGAAGAAAACAGACCTATTTATAAATATTTTCCCTGAATTTTTACCTCAAATTTGATTCCATTGCTAGGTTTTTGAACAAAGCACTCATGATTTGTAATAAGAATTAGCTAATCGGTGTAAAATCTAGGCGTAAGGATATTTCATAGACCAGAATGAAAGTTTAATTACCATACCTTACCATTTTCAAAAAATATATGAGAGCTAAAGTAAAACAAAGCACCTACCTTATATTAACTGATGTTGGAGATAATAATGTCACTTTGTAGGTTGTACTTGACATACGACTCCTCTTAGAAACCGTCAATTTGAAAACATATTCACCAGCATCCATACGTTTTGTGTCTAATCGTAAGATTCTGTTTGTATTGCTTAATTTTCCAGGCCCAAAGCCGAAGCACCCACCACTTGATGATAGAGTCGAATTTGTTTTAGTTATATCCACATATGAAGTGCCTCTCTTTGGATACTGCTCGCCATTCTTCTTGCAGTACCAAGTAAATTTTAGATATTTATATCTTAAGCGTCGGACAAGCGGATCTATAGATCGAGACCCGTCAAGAACGATATCCTCGTTATTTTTGACAAAGAATCTTTTACCCGTGATATTTACCGCAATAGGTGGAGTCACGATACTAAAAAATCCATAATCATAACTCAGGGCTCCTGGCACAGCGAGCATTTGTACTTTGCATCGTACATACACTACCGTGAATCGTCTAAATAGTGCTGTATTCAGGTTCTCTTTCTGTTTTGATTCTGAAGATATTTTCTGGGAATTAGATATTATGGGAGAAAATTGTCTAATCCCTTTACTGATTGCTGTACTTTCCCAAGTTGTAAAGAACTTTTTCTGTTGGCTGCAGTTAAACGTGACAGTACTTTCCAGCTTGAAAATTCTTACTGATTTATAAACCACAGTGGGAGATGAGGCCGATTTGCTGAGTCCTTTGATTGTTACTATTGGTGGAGGACAGTTACAGTCATCTGTACATAATAACAAGAAATTTTTTCAGTTAAAAAAATTATATTTATTTAAAGCCTTTATCTAAATTTTCTTTAGAATTATTTGTAAAGATCAACTACATAAAGCCTTCCAAATTTAAAGACTGAATCTTAATAATAGTTTTTTTCATAAAATAAAATAATAAATCAATATCGCTTTCTGAGAAAGCTAAAGGTGATTGAATCACAACGTGTCATTCAATATAATACATACAATAGCATATGTGCTCATGCACGCAAATCTCAAATCAAACCCCTTCAAAAACAGGTGAACATACAAGTTGTATTATTATATATAATAGGAAAGATAAAATATATATCTAAATATGCAAATGCATTTTAAAGACCTCAACTATAAGAATCATTTAAAAAATTATAATTATTGTAATCATTAGTAAGAATTTAATTATTAAGAAATTCCTTTAAAAGCTTTTTTCGCAGTGCATGCCTTAAAGACTGCACATTTTTACAAAGTTTAAGGCTATCGCTTAAATCGTTCCAAGGCTTAACTCCTTGATAATAAAAGGAACGTTTACCTGTGGTTGTCTTAAGGAGCAGAATATTTAATATCTGAGAATTCCTAGTTTGACGGCTAGAGATGCTAGATCATTTGACAAACTTGTCCGCAAAGTACTGTAACCTACTACTTTGACAATGTGATGACGAAATTTGTCGTCTACAAGAGGACAGACACATAAAAAATTGATGTCTATTTGTTCCTTACATTAACAAAAACGATAAAAACTTCTCATTTTAGTGATTAAAACAACCAACGGAAAGAGCGCTCGCCCGTTGACGTCAGCTTTATCTGTCTGTCCTCTTATTGACGATAGAAAATAACCAATCAGAAATTTGTAAGTTTTTGTAAAAAGTGGGATTTTACTCTGGCAAAGCAATACCAAAACTTACGCGTGTACTGAAATTGAAAGAAGGATGGGGAAAAAAGATCTGGACTGTTTTTTTGAAGAGCCTTTAGCTTCCCAACCAAATACTGTTCCTTCTTGGGTAAACAATTAATTTTGATCTCGGCTGCAGCGTAGGTCAATAAATTGCCGGATGTTTGAGGACTGCAAATAAAGAACAACAAGAAGAATTTAGTATAGCTTGTGATTCATACCGTATGAAAGTAAAATAGTATTCTTTATTCAAATAATGCTCTTACCTGAACCGAATTAATTCTGCGGACAAAAATCCGTATGTCGCATGTAGATTTGCAGTTACCTATATATGATAAAAATAAACATTTAGTGCGAGTTTTGATGACGTTCTACACATCAAACGTTTCATCAGTACTACATGCGTATGTTACCTCAGACATCATTTGGTCGGCTTTCTTTATGTAGGTTTCACTAGAAGAATTTAAGAATTCCACTGTAAATGGAGTACTCGGGCTCATCATCCAAGCATTGAAAGCATAACCTAMAAATATAAAAGAAAATAAACAACGACTGGATGCGGAGAAATAATCGCCTACTGGCTCGCAGCAATTCTGCGCTTGAAAAAAGGCTTTCGAAGTCTTCAGCGTTTATTCGAGACTTTTGTGCGGACACTTGTATGTTACTTCCATATTAATATTTCTTCAAATTTAAAAACCCTCTGCAGTCACTCTCATCTATGCATTTAATTAATTGAGGCTTTACCTGCATTGCAACCATAGAGTTCCATACGAAGTCCCACATTGTTATGCCAAGAAACAGGGAATAACATAATGCGCCAGGCTACAACGGGAAGTGGAATTTTGTTGTTACGGATGGTGCTTCGGTCCTTGTTGCCTTGAAAGATCTAATGAAACATGGTAAATCATATTGTAGATATGTTGTCTTGAAGAAATAGAAAGCGCGCGCGAGTGCTGTGTGCTGTCATCAAGCACGCGGGGATTGGCATAACACGAGAGAAGTGTTAGGAGAAGCACGACGCGTAGCGGAGTTCTTCTCAACACTTCTCGAGTGTCCTGCCAATCCCCAAGTGCTTTATGACTGCACACAGCACAGCAAGCAAGTTTTTTATTTCTTTTATAAAACATACATTACAATAATAGATAGGATATGGCGCAACGGAAAGTGCGGGCGCGTGCAAGCGCGTCAACTTATCATAAGAAAAGAAGCCAGCAGCCAAACAAAATCAATAGCAGTAAACCATTAAAGCGACTACAAATAGGATGAGAGAAAAAAGCAAATAAATAATTTATTAGTGTCATTTTCACAGAGTAGCTCTTCATCCACTAAATTGCAGCTGGCCACAGCATAAGAAATATTAAAGAAAAGCCTCTGCTGTGACGCGAGACGTGTCCACAACTAGAAATGGGATATGTAATTTATGCTACCTCCAGAACCATTAAAAAAAGCACATGTAAGTTGCAGTTTATCAAGTCAAGTGCACCTGCATTATAAGTGATGCTTTTGCGCACGAAAAACAAGACAGAGTCAGCTTTACTTACCATCTGTGCTCCGTTGTTGTCCTTGAAATATTGGTAGTCTTCCATACTGTTTGCAGCGTAAAATAACTGAAACGTCTTCACCCACTCTGATACACTTTCACCTCCATATCCTTGCGTACTAATTCCAGTTATGACCAAAGGCTTCCCAAGGTTAATTGTTATCCATGCACTTTCGGCCTCGCCCTGTTTTCCACGATAACCTTTCTTGCCATTCAGTCTTGCAAACTTGGCACCGTACTTAAGGGGATCGTCATTATAAGTATTTAAGCCTAATATTTGGGAGTCTGCGATCAAACCATTCTCAAATCCTAGCGGGTCATTGCATGACACTTAAAAGAAAAAAAAGGTACTGTATTTATTGTAGTCAATATGTTTATCTCAATATGTTTTTGCAACCCTCCCCCCCCCCCTTCGCCCATGAATCCATGAATCTATGCATCCATCTATCGTGATGCATTCTTCCAATATTGTAATATCGTCATTTGAATACACCTGTTCCACAAGTTCAGTGTGCTTTTATGTTTAGTCATATAAATAAATATTTGAAATATATATCTAAACGCTTTCGTACCATACTATTTGAAAGAAAGAAAGGCGAATTTTGATTGAAGATTGTCTTTGAGGAAGTCTTTCCATCAATTTGTCAAACGACATTCACATAGATATATATTACATTATGTTTTAACAGTATGCCGTTAAAAGATACCTTAAAGTGCTACTATGACAAAAATCGCTCAAACTTGGATTCAGCTGAAACTTCCTAAGAATACTCTCTAAAGGTCCAATAATCACTGTATGAAGTGTTTTCTCGATATTCAGGACGAAAGTATGATATTTTTACGATTATTTTTTTTGGAGTCTGTGACGTCATACACTCAACATCAAACATTGCTACATATATTTCTTTGTATATAATTCCTTAATTTATTTTATTCCTATGAAGCTCAAAGGGTGGCTAATGTGCTTATTTCACATTACTTGTGACTATAATTTATATTTTGGGGTGTTTGGGTATTTCTTTCTCCCTTTACTACTGATATTTTGATCATAAACTACAAAGAAATGTATGGAGCGATGTTCGAAGTTGAGTGTATGACGTCACAGACTCCAAAAAATAATCGTAAAAATATCATACTTTCGTCCTGAATATCGAGAAAACACTTCATACAGTGATTATTGGACCTTTAAAGAGTATTCTTAGGAAGTTTCAGCTGAATCCAAGTTTGAGCGATTTTCGTCATAGTAGCACTTTAATAATGTCCATTTATACAGTCAATGTTTCAAGTACAATCAATGTTTCAAAACAAATAGAAAGTAGCAGAACTTCAACAATTAGTATTGCTGCATTCGTAACTGCAAGTGCTTCTAAAAGCGTTTTTGGCCAAGGATTTATTCAATCAAATCGTTATCACCGAGATCTTTCAATCATTGTTTCTATTAAAATCTTCTTTAAAAATAGACCACTTGGCTTGGGCGTAGTGTTTTCCCATTTCAGATCACGTGTCATTCTCTTGAAAATGCCTTAGTTGCTTAAGCTGCGTCCATACTTAAGTGTGCTCTCATGAACAAACAAATAAACTGTTCTTTAGGGCCGGAATGACAACATTGTCTGTAATAGGAAAACATTGTACTCATTGTAATAGCATAGTTTAGTCCTAAGTTAGGCTGCTGCGAATGTAAATAACTAATCCTTACGATTCGTGGATCTAATGCGATCAATCAATTGAAAGTCATATAGTATGTTACATCTTAGGTAACATCATTCAGCACTTATTCGCCGGGGGGGGGGGGGGGGGGGGGGGGGGGGCGATTTTGCGGTTTTACATTAAGTGTCAAATCGCGTGCGAACCCCTTTCATTGCTAAATCGAAGGGCCAAAAATTAACAGTGGACAAGATTGTGATAAGTGGTACATAAAATGACCAGACGTGTATATGATAAGGTTTATAAACGAAAGACAAACAAAAACAACTCTCTGAAATTGTTTTAGCCGAGACTTCAAAAGATTTCGTAATCATAGTAAGTCGTTTTTGTTAGGTATAAATCCCTAACTAGTAATCTTTTATACGTACGCCAAAACGACAAATAAATATTCAGGTGAAACTAGTTTCATTTAATTCAACCTCTTTAGTCCACTGTATTATAATCCGTTAGGAAAATTACAATCACGCGAACAAACACTAAGGGCCGCGCGCTCTAATCAAATTAATTGATTGTTGCGCGCGGAATGTTGTTCCATTCGTTTTTAGTGTTTATTTTAGGTCTTTCTCAGTTAATCTTCACCTCTTCGCTTACTTTTCTGAGTAGTGCATCTCTCTGAAATAATTCTGTTACATTGCACGTGTAGTTTGGTATAGTTCCCTGATGTTTCTCTTTAGCATGCTTCCACAATACTGATCCTTCATTTTAGGAGTCCATCTCCCGCAAATGTTCTTTTCCTCTTATATATGTGTTGCGGGCTGTCTCTCCTATGTACGTCTGGTTACACTCAGTGCATTTAATCTTGTATGTGGCATTAGCAGCTTTACAGGGACCTTTCCCTCCCGTTTGGCATACGATACAATCTTATCTCCTACACTTCTTCTCCTTGAAAGGATCTGATCATTGCAATATTCTCTTCATACTTGTACCAGCTTTCTCGATGATCTTTTATGCTTGAATCTTTTACATCCTTTTCTAATCTCTTCTTCGACTCAGAGTTAGGGAGAGCAGGTACAAATATAATACTACTGTATCCACCTTTCTTGAACCAGGTTTTCTTTTTAAGTTCTTTCTCAGGCTCTTGTTCTCTCTCTTTCCTCCTCCATTCTTTCGGTCTGTAAATCGGTTCTTCTCCATATTGATCATCTTTCATTACCATATCCTTGTAAGCCTTCATTGCTGACGGAGTTGACAACCTTATGCCTGAACTTCTTGTTGTAACCAGGATACTATATTCTCATGTTCATTGCATTCACGTGCTTGCTCCCATGGTRATTCCAGGCTGAATTAAACGAAACTAGTTTCCACTGAATATTTATTTGTCGTTTTGGCGTACGTAGAAAAGATTACTAATTAGGGATTTACACCTAACGAAAACAACTTACTATGAACAAATACAACAACAACGACAACAACAAACAACAACAACAACAAATTAGCAAAAACAAAAAAACGAAAGAACAACAACAAAAAAACAAAAACAAAACAAAAACAAACAAACAAACAAAAACAACAAAACAACAACAACAACAACGAAAACAAAACAAAAGCAAAACAAAACAAAACAAATCAAAACAAATCGAAACAACAACAACAACATCAACAATAAAAAATGATAAATTTCACATTTTAGAAAAGGATATTTGATACTGTTTGTTAAGATCAGAACAACGTCTTCAAAAGACTGAGATTAAGATGCTGTCGATTTTTATTCATTATTGCTCGTAACTGAAAAATGTTCAAACTAGTACTGCATTAGCTATTTAGATAAATAACCGTCCTTCTAGTAAAAATGACCTGAGTAACATATTTTCCATATCTTCACTAGTGAGGATATCAATGACGTCACTTGCGATGTTTTCCCGCTCACTTGAGGCGCGTTGTAATAGTTCTTTGTGAATTTGCTATATAATAAAAAGAAAATTACACGTTGGCTTGAAGGTATGGAATTTATCTTCTCGTGTTCAAAATTATCTCACTCGTTCGCTGCGCTCACACGTGAAATATTTTTCATCACCAGTCGAAGATAAATTTCATATCTTCGCACTACCGTGTAATATCCTCTATATATCTTTGCATTTTAAACTATTATCCGTTAAAACGATAAGCAGCAGCACTTATTGGAAGGCCGCGATTTGGAACCTAATGAAAGGGATTAGTACGCCGTATACTACCCTGTGAATCACACCTTTTAAAAGATCTAGAAGATTAAGATTAGTATTCTTTATTGACATTTGATATCTCATCAAATTAAAGCAAAATTATATATTTGCATTTTAAACTAATACCTGTTAAAAACATTATTATTAGCAATACATCAGCAGTTACAGGATAAGCAAATGCATTTTCATCTAGTAGTCACAGTAAAAGCATTAATATCAACTGTTGACTCAAAATTATTAGCACTGAAAAGAGGATTGTATGAGGCCCAACAGATCGGCATCAGCATCAGCAATTTCAATTGCATCGGAATGATAAACAGTACAAGTAAATTAATGCGCACAAGCATTTGCCAAAATAACAGCACCATAATCAGTAATATATATATATCACCTCAGGATAAAAGTTTTGAACAGTTATGGTACGTGAGAACTACATTATTTTCGAATAACGGCCAGCAGGCAAGATAGAACCATTGTATTGTATTTGTTCCTCTTTTTCATTTAATTTACCCCTTGTTTTACAACGGAATGATACTCGCGGTATATTTTTAAAAAAGTGACTGATAATTCTGGAGTCAGATAGACGGAAAATAAAGAATAAAAATGCGCGAAGCTATTTTAGGGTTCGAACACTACAAAAAAAAAAAAAAAAAAAAAAAAAAAAAATCCGAAACCACGAGCACCACACATATTTCTAAGGTTCTTAGTAATTATTTCATCATAGGTCGTTTACTGATGTCGTCTCAATTACTAGATTGACTTTGATATAAAAAATATCGGCATTAAAAATGACTGCAGCTTTAATTGGTTTCAAGCAAGGGTTTGAATAGCTGCGCGTGTTCTTAAACTGTGGCACTAACATGCATGTTCTAAGTAACAAATTACATGTGTGGCACAGAGTTCAGGACGGATCTCAATAATAGCAGCTTGCATAGCCGCTGCTGATATATCACTTGAACTAAGCGCTGCGTTATCGATATTGAGAGTTATCTTTTTATCGATGATTTTACTTTTGCAATTGTTCTTAATATTGGTTAAAGGAGCAAAGTAAAATGGTGAGGTGGAAACTCGTTGCCAAACACTTATTCAGTGCACTCAGTACACGGTTTTGAATATGGGTTTTCGAGGCAAGAAAGCAAGAATAATAAAAAAACCCTGTGTTCTCTCACAGACCGCAAATATCTATACACGTGAATTATTTTTTGAACAACTAAAATGACCCAAGCTCTTAAGCAAATGGTCGTAAATGTTTTAAAAGTTACGCATYGCATATAGAGAAGGGTTTTAGCCCTTTTTATCCAACAGTGCTAGTAAACATAAAAATTAATCATTCAACGTTAAACTTTGTAGAAACTCACCTTGACATGCTTCTGCTATAGAGAGAAATGCTCCAATTACACAGTATAGAAGAATAGGATATTGGTCTTGAAATGCAACCATGCTATGTTTACTAGATGTGAAAATCGTTAAGGAATCTAGCCAGTATGGCAATATCCACTGAGATCTTCTGAAGATGCCGGTTTATATAATAGCAATGTATTGTCTATTACCAAGAAAATTCAGACGATGTTATTTTGGAGAAAAGGATAGACAAGCTGTTGGACACTCAGAATTCTTCTAAACCTAAAATGAATGGCGTTGAATGGCACAGATTCTCATTCTCAATACTGAAGCAAACAACTGCTTGAATGTTAATAGTCACTTTGGTGTTTTACCGCTAATATTTACATGCCATCATATGACAAATGAATCATTAATGCCTTCCGTCAAATAACCCACTGGTCAACTGTAAGAAAAAACCAATAACTTACGAATAAATTTTGACAAATGGAGATTCACAGTTGGAGAATTTTGTCAGTTCTTCAGCGGACATTCTACAATAACTCTGTTCTCTACTTATGAAAATAGCTTGCAAGGGTCTTCGTTATTTTATCTGCTTCAGCAAACTCATGCTTCATTTTGTCAAAACAAGTCATTAAATTTATAATTCGTCATAATCATGCAAGAGGTTTAGGAAGGACGAGGGTAGTCATGGAATCTTTGAGATGGGAAACTGGCTTTAAGCTATCCATGCTTTTGAATTGAATTTTAGTCTGCAATTGAAAATCTATAAACGTTGTTAGATTTTCATCCTTTACAAATGAAATATAAAACATTAAAATATATCTTAAAAGCTCGCTTTGGCAGATATTTTCCTTGCATAACATTTAAACATTTTTACTGCTGGAAAAAAGTTTCCATGGAAACAATAATAATTAGAGCCACAGTTATACAGGATATTATCAAATATTGCTTTTCAATCTATGTCTGGAACATTCGTATCCTAATAATTGTTTCAAGATGTTCAATTCATATATTGAAAATTTTTTGAATGCTCGAACCTGCTATATAATAATATTTGATTTCAATTTAGAACAATAGAAGGATAGAAAGAAAGAAAAAAAAAAAAAAGAAATATAGATCCTGTAATTCGCAATTTCAAGTTTACTATAGAATGATTGATCATGGATCCATCAAAAGGACATTTACTGATTTAGCAGACTGGCCCATTCAAATAACTATTGTCTTATCATAATTTGACTAGAAAACCATGATGATAACAGTCAAAGCTAAAACTAATATTTAATTCAATGTCACACATTCTGCCGGATGCTAACTCAATTTTATTCAATTTAAAAAAAAATCTATTTCATTTGAGCTGAGGATTGAGAGCTCGAGATACTTTGTGAGTGCCAAATAAATTGAAATTAAGTGTTCAACGTCAATCCAGGTTTATTGCAACTATCGCAAATGTTATTGTGTAAATCCCATTCTTATCGATATTAATATATACTAGTATAATTTCAACACCCTTCAAACAACTCATGTATACCTCTTTATAAATCTTATGATCCAATGAGATCTATCAAGACCTATCAACTTCCATTCTATCTTCATGGAATAATTACAGCAATATATATATATATATATATATATATACATATATATTACAGTAAAAACTGTGGACTAAAACATATAAAGTCGTGAGTGGGTGTGGACGTCAATATTTATCTTACTTTTAATAAAATAATCTTACATTTTTAGAAGATTCTAGRACTTTCGCAAGAAATTACAAAATATGTAAGTTATAAAGTCATTTTCCTTAGTTATGGAACCACCTCAAAAATGCTTTTTTTTAATGTTATTGATTACCAGATATTTAGAAAGGTATTTCAACTTAAAATTGCAAAATAAATTTRAAAATGTAGAACTGAAATTCTTCAATTATATTTTTGTATTTTTAGTTTAAAAAAATCACATTCATCGACATCCAATCAAATACCTGTAACACGGCTAAACACGGGTAGACACGGTAACGCCAAGGTCACGGCAGTGTCAGACCATTCACATTGCGCGAGAAAATAGTCAGCCAATTAAAATTTTTGAAAGCATCACGATCACGGCGAGGCAAGCTCACAGTAAGGAGCTTTTCGAAGTCAAACAAAATGACTTACATTAATTATTAAGGAACTAAAAGCTAAGTTAAAATATTAATACCAAAGGATAGTAAAACATAATGATGAAGCTGGAAATTCAGAAACTTTGACCTCAAATCTTTTGGTCGCATCTTTTTTGTGGTTTGACATGAATACGTATAAAGACTACTCGTGTGGTAGAAAACGCAGGAAGCAGTTCTGTGATGTCGGTAGCTTTTTACCAGCTTAACTCAATAAGGACTACGCAGATGAGTGAGGAAAAAGCAGCTTTTACTATCGTACCAAAAATAGATCTTACGTATAATTAGAAATGCCGAGAAAACTTGGATGATTATTGCAATTCATCATGGCACACTCACACTCACCCATGTATTACGACCATTTTTCGAGTGCAATTACAGAGCCATATACAAGGTCTGTGAAGCGGTTTTAAACGTTTTTTTTTTTTTTTGCTGATGCCAGCGCGAGGAAATTCTCTCCTATTTCATTGTGCGGTTAAAGTCAGTGGTTTGGGCTTAAGTTTGCTGGTTTACAATAAAAGACAATTTTCCCGACATTTATTTCACGATAAAAAGTAGACCAAAACACGTTTCATACCGTTTCTAATCTAAGCAAAGAAGATCTCTTTCCTGCTGGCAAATTCTCACTTCCTTTTCTTTCTGAATTACGGATTCTGATCCAGGGAAAGAAAAGAAAAGGAGACTATGCYAGCTGGGAAGAGAGTCTCCATTGAAATCCAAAAATGAAGGCTTTGAATTCGAATTTCTATTTAGTTGCCTTCGGCCAAATTATGTTTTAATCTAGAGGAATCGCATAAAAACCGAGAACAGGAGAACATTCTAGAAGGGCGAAGGAAATAGAAGTGTTCATAATTATTTTTGTCGCGGTTATTTCGAAGGGCGAAGATTATTTAAATCTATTCTGGAAACAAATAGCTGTGAATTGATAATTATGGCTATTGTTTTATTACCGCTCTGGATTACTGTGGTGCAAATACTAATAAAGTTTCATGTAATAACATCCCAATCCTCCCGGTTGATGATAACAGCAATTAGTTCATGAGAAGCCAACATTATAAAGATCACTGATCTATTTTTTAAATTTACTTTTATTCATTGCTTTTAAATGTGACTTGATAACCATTGCGGTTTTATCATCTCTTTTGCATTGCGACTGCTTCAGCTCAGTTCACTGCAAGAACCGATTTGAAACCCAGGCTAAGCTATCAAAAGGCTTGTGAAATAGGTCAAAAGGTTTGTAAAGCTTTTTTTTTTCAAGGAACAATTGTTAGCCTTAGTTGGATTCATAAGAGCGTGGAAGTATTAGGTTGTTTTTTGACTAAAAGTACCAACATGCAGCACGCTGCGTGGGGCTTCTTTTTACATTACATCAATTTACCCGTGTTTTTACTTTTGAAATTAAGGAACCTTAATTTTTTTGACACTTTCTTCATACTAATTGAGCTGTAATCTTTATCTAATAATTTTAGAGCCTAAAACCGTTTTTTAAACMGTACTTCACCGATAAGAACTAAGATAAAAGTATTTCAGTGATATGATCTCGATTTCAAATGAAAATCGCTACATACATTAATTATAAGATATCGATCAGCTGGGACAACAGGAAGCACCAACTTTCGTTCAGTCTGGGAACCTCTGTGTGTAAAATTTCAAAAGAAGGGAATTGAAAAGGGAAAACGACTTGGAAAAAAATCGTTTATTTTACGTTAAGTACTTATTTCAATGTTCTTTTTGATATGATTACTGTAGTTGATTAATATATATTCACTGGGTTGTTCGAGCTCATTGAAGTCATCTAGCTGCTCGAATAACGAACGGCGAGGAAAGTCGTATTTGACGGTTTTTCTTTTTAACTTTCTTGACATGATAAAAAAATCGTTGAATAGGTATTAATAATGAGAGTGAGTGTCACTGTGGAATTGCAAAAGTGTTCACAAGTCTACATAGTCTAACACAATGGCTATAAAAACAAACATATGTCATTCAAACTTCAATTTGAACATACTAACTGAAGAAACCAATAATAGAAAGCGTCCCAGTATTTTACCATATCTACTATTTCTCTACTGGAAGTTCCCGATTAGATCATATTTTTTTGAAAACTATATAATTACCCAAATGCCGGCAAGTGGATCATTCTACAAAACCAATTAATTACATTTTTTGCTTTCAAAAATCACATAAAGAAGAAGCAAATATCCTACAAAACATTTTTTCTACTTATCGTGTTTGAACTTAAAATATGAAAGAAAGAAAGAAAGAAAGAAAGAAAGAAAGAAAGAAAAAAAGAAATAACGTAGATTTTCAGATTATTTTTATTAAATTAAGCGTATAATTATATAGAGTCCCTTGCAAAATCTTTTTTTGTTTTTTTTTCTCCTCCTGAAATTTAAAACGGAAATGGGAAAGATTCAGCATTCAAAGGAGGCAGTCACCTTAATGCGGCTTATACTATGGATATTGCAGTTGTGCAGCTGATGATGATGATGAAGATGATGATGATAATGCTGATGATGATTACCTCAAGTAGCATGCCTTTTATTGCAAGTTCTTCCAGCTAACAGCTTCAGTTATGGTGTTATTTCAACATCAGAAATAGAACGTTTGAGAATACTACTAATTTCTGCTAAACTGCCTCTGATGTCGTTTAGCTGAACATCTTCATCGTAGGATTCCCTTTCGTGGCTGATGCAGGAAATACAGTCGAAAGTAAAGTCTATTGAAAGGGTCTCTCTGGAGCCGTGACTACATACTTTCAGCATTTCCCCCTCATTTCCATTCCTCAAATCGTCGTACTCCCTTGGTCTGCATCTAACGTAGACTTCTCCCTTGTGCGAAGGCACTAATGTTTTCCTTAAAATTTTGTTAATTTTTTCCTGACCGGAAGCAACCTTCTGACCTAGATGGCTTTTCATAAATATTCCAAATTTCAAATCATCAAGATATTGTGGATCAACGCATTTTCTTGATGTTTTGAAGCTTTCTAATAGGATAGAAAGTAATATGTTTACAAGTATCACAGAGGCGAAAGCTGTGTAGAAAAGAACAAATAATGGGCCAATAGGACTTTGAGAAAAGTTAATATCTTTCTGATATATTTTTCCACCAACCAAAAGCTGGAGTAATTTACTCAGCGCCCTTGGTAAGGATGAGAAGTCGTATGAAAATCTTCCAAATGCCAATGTCGCCATGAAGCCCAAACCAAGCATGACAATCAAGAACAAAACGCTAAAAGAACAAATAAACTTGGCTGATCTTTTCAAAGTGTTGTTCAGCTGGCAAACTAGTGGGTTGTAACGTATTAGGCGGATTAGCTTAATCGTAATGATGAAAATGACGAATGACAGAACAATTGTTTCTAGATCAGACCACATGACGATGTAATCAGCGCTTGACGTTTCAAAAGGATTCACTTGCAATTGAGCAATGAAACTGTTGGTATATTTTTCCTTAAAATAAAACATTACGATCGCACATATTATGCTAACTATCTGTAGCCACTGAACCAAATTCCAGATATCTTTAAAATAGCTACGGCCATTTTGATATATGTGGACACACTCAGAGACCATAAGAGCTATGATGATAACCATCAATAAAAACTGACACATTTGAAGAAATGATAAAAGTGAGTTGTTAGTTGGCGAGTAGACAGTTATGGTATCAATTCGATTTAGAGCATTCAAAGAACCCGAGGCCAATCGCTCAAACAAGAATTTAACTGTACTAAAAAGCGAGGTTGCTGGGTTAAACAAAGTAAATTCTAGAAAGAGGGCGGATGTGTACTCGTCTATCCATTCGTTTTTTTGTAGTTCCCTGACCACGTCTTTTGCTGTAGCTATTTTGTATCCAAGATCAGCAACAAAACCTCCACCACCATAAGCAGTTGTAGTCCCCCAAAACGGTAAAGTCTGAATTTCATTAAAGTCTCTGTATCTCCATGGTATCGGACAGAGTTTCCCAATTTCAAAGTTGGAAAGATAAGCCGTTCGGTTCTTGAATACTTTCCATTTCGGTAAGTTGTAGGGACTGTTCTGTTCGGTGAACATACTATACTGTGGGATGCATCGTTGAAAATTTGATGCCATGTCTGGACGAATTTCCTTCAAACATTCATTACCTAAGTTAAAAAGATAGATAATTAAGTCTTTTAGTTGATGTTTACAAGATGGACAATGGAATGATTCATTCTATTGTGAGAAGCAAGCGTGTTTGCGTGATCCCTCATTCTTTACATGCTTATTATGCAATGACTGTGAGTGGCTTGGGTGACCGAAGAAATGGTTCCTACAATTAATTAGAGTCAGTCCATCCAGTTCTGGATCACACGGGAGGTTGTTATGAAGCATGAACTGAAGCGTAGGAGTCGCAAAAGGCGTACCCAATCAAAACCGAAAAAAAATATTTGTAATTGAAAGAAAAATATTTGATGCAACAAAATCTTCAATATAAAGCGCGCGCCTCATTACGCACACTCGCGCACGCTGATTAACAAATCAAAGCATGTGCTTACTTTGTGACATGGAATATCTTAAAAGCCTATTGTATTTAATAGAATATTCCTTAATCTATTACATCCTTTTTTGAAATCACAAGCAAATCCTGCAATCTGATTGGTTCCCTAGAGCAGTGATTTCAGCCAAAATTGCACCATTTTGAGCTCTAAATTGCACGATCATCTGATATGAACCAATCACGAGAGAGACATGTCATTTTCTAGCCAATAAGCCTTTTCATAKTTTAAGAATCGATTCCACTGCGCATGCGATTTTATCCCGAATTTCTCACCTTCTTTTGTTTAATTAAGAACAAAAGAAGGTTTAGACAAAAGAAGGTGAGAAATTCGGGATAAAATCGCATGCGCAGTGGAATCGATTCTTAAACTATGAAAAGGCTTATTATATCAAGGAATCCATTTTAGTGTTGAGCTCGCCGCTTCTTGCGAAAAAAATCCACCACAGCTCAAAACATTTTTCTGAAGAACAATTTTACAAAAAAAGCAGTAAAAAATGACTTAAAAAGACCAACTTAGCACTTAAAATTTTCAAAAGCATCTTTCTAAAGCCCCGTTTATACTAGCGATTTTTGCTGCGATTTTTTTGCGAATTTGTCTATAATAAATAATGGTAAAGAATTTACTTGTAAAGTTTTTTCCAAAATTTTCCTAGACGAATGTCTTTTCAATTGTTTTTTATATTTTACAAATATGTTTTTATCGGTAAATAAGTAATTTGTACATATATTTGTTATTTTGTATTCATAATCTCTTTATTAACGTTATTATAAATTGTATTATTATTATTATTATTATTATTATTAATAGTTAATTGAATTCTATCATTAAAAAAATATATATTTAAGCAAAAGAAAATACAAATTCTCCATACATCACGGAGTTCGATCGTTAGCCAATCAAATTTCGTGTAATAAACGCCAAGGAGGCAAATGTGAAGCGAGAAAGAATTGCTAGTTATTTTCAACATTTATCACTTCTAAAACTTTAAAACAATTACAAAGAAGTGTCCAAAGATTGAATAGAAATCTTAAGAAAATATTTCAGAATTGATTATCTTACGAAAGTGATCAAAAGTAGATAAAAAAGAAACGTGGTTTTGCTCAATTTGACAGCCAGACAGACTGACATGGCAGCGAAGTTGATTGTTTCGTCTTGACTCGAGAAGATATTGTGGGGTTGAAGAGCTATCGCTGGAAAAAGTTTGAAGCTGCTAACTGTTTCCTTGAAATACTTGTATTCCTTATCGGGCGGTGCATTTAAATCACGAGAAAGCACTTCGCTGAACAACCGAAGCTGTCCTGACGAAGGACGTGTGTTGTAGCTCCTGAGGGAATTCTCGTTGCGGTGACCAACGAGAGATTAGAGAGTTTTAGATTTACGTTCACGGCAAACGTGAAACGTCAGTTGACCATTTAAAAATTATTTTAAATAGCTTAAAAAATATCGCAAAAAAGTCCAAGTAGTAGAAAAACAAAAGAATATTTGTCTTTGGTGAGAAGGTTTGTAAAAGGTAAAGTAAAGTACAGGAAAACTATGAAAACGTGGTTACGTTTGCCGTTTGCGGGGAGAAAAAAAGTCAATCTAAAACTCTCTATTGTCATGATATTACGATCAGAAAGACCTGCATGAGACTATAGGGTTATGCCTGTGACCCTTACACAAGTCAAAATTTGGAACTTCGTCTTCAAAATAAATTTTTGGGGGCGTTTTTTTTCATCGAAAGAAACTGTACCGGGAAAACACGATAGTTGTGACGTCACAACTGTGTTTACATACCCTCATGCAAACCGCATGGCTATCAACCAATCTAAGCGTGCGTACTATTTAATTTATTTTATAAATATTATTATTATAATGACATTGAGATTATGAAATTTAAATCCTATAGTTTTTCATTTTATTTTTCTTTATCATTATCTTAAAATATTAAGCATTGGAACTTTAGTAGCTTTGGAGCGAGTGTTTTTTTTTTAAATAAAAAAAATAAAAAATAATTATTATTATTAAATTTAAATTATTATTATTATTATTATTATTATTATTATTATTAAGTGTTTCTCAAGAATAAGATTTTTGCTGAGCTACGTGGCTTCTTAAGGACAACCGAAGGACTAAACATACTTTAATTTTTGCTGTTTTCTCGGCACATGTGTGTGATCTTAACACGTTGAACAGAAATCGTAGAATAGAAGCAGTGAATGAGCATTGGCTGTATGGACAAAAGCCAGTTCATAACAACCCTTTTGGGCAGAATTGTCTTGCAATTTAATGTCGACAACAACTCGATAATCAAACTTCTGTTTAGTTTCTTACATAGTTCTGAAGTAGTATTAAAGCCAACAATGTAAGCTTGCTCAATTCAAGTTGTCAACTTGTTTTAAGAATAGTGCCGTTTTTTTACTTAGATAAATTGCTACGCAAAGTACTCAAGCTTTATTATATTTTCAAAGCAGAGATTCTTCTTACTGCATCGATTCCTACTACATGTAATGCCTTTTGGTCCTTAAAGTCATAGTTTTGGTCCTATAAATTCAGTTTAGTTTTGGATTGAAAGTTTTGGTTTTCAAAATGTGAATCATTGCTCGATCAGTAAGCTCATACAAGTTCTCTTGACAGCATGCTTGAATCCGACTGCTTGTAGATTGTAAGTCATGTTTTTTACAGAAAAAACGTCTTTAAAAAAAAAAAAAAAAAAAAAAAAAGGTAATTGAACTTTTGGTCGTACAATTATGGTTTGAAATCAAACTCTTGCAATTACAAATCGCACTGCCACTAAGCGGTCGTGCGATTTTGTAATCGCGCGTTTGATTTCAGGCCAAATTGCACTCCGATCAGTTCAATTACCATTACACCTTTTGCTGTTCATTAACCGCAAAGGAATATTCAATGAAGCAAAGAAGCATTGTCATTAGAGCGAACAGGCATTCAATAAGGCGAACGGACTCTCAAGAGTGCGATGGAACTTTCATTAAGAAATTTAGCATTGAATTTGACAATCATGAATATGTTTGCGTGGTTTCATTAATGTTTTCGAACTTTCATTAGCGTTTTGGTGCAGACAATAAACCACAACACACATTCAATACAGTGTTTTGGACATTTATTTACGCAATACAATATAAGTATTCTTATTTTCTACTAGGAATTGTAGGATTTTAACTGTCATTCCATTTTTTTACAAGCCGTGAATATGACTTCGTACAAGCAAAGCGCCGTTAGGTATAAATATCAAGTCAGTTCTGAGTTTTTTAATCCCTCTTTTTTGGATGTTGCATTGGCTCAACAAAGAAACCAAATTCCAAATGAAGTCAGATAGCGTCTTGTGAGGGCCTATGAAGATCCACAGAAACGCATACAATGGTACAACCACATGCAAACATATCGTCCAAGATGTTTAAATAGAGAAGACATTCAAGGATAAGTTCACTTTTTTGTCTTTGAAAATCTACAGTCGTAAAAGCACAATATACTTATATTGTATTGCGTAAATAAATGTCCAAAACACTGTATYGAATGTGTGTTGTGGTTTATTGTCTGCACCAAAACGCTAATGAAAGTTCGAAAACGTTAATGAATCCACGCAAACATATTCATGATTGTCAAATTCAATGCTAAATTTCTTAATGAAAGTTCCATCGCACCTTTGATAGTCCGTTCGCCTTATTGAATGCCTGTTCGTTCTAATGACAATGCTTCTTCGCTGCAATGAATATTCCTTTGCGTTTAATGAACAGCAAACAACCACATGGTGTAAAAGTATCAAGGTCAGATTGTGTGTTAAGTGTTGGATGGTGGGCACAGACGAACAGCATCTCGTAAATTAAACATTGACAATACCCATTGGTCGTTAAACATTTAAATAGTGAGACGAAACTTTGATTATTAAACCAAAATGACTCCGAAACGTCGGATTTTTGCGTTAATTTTCATTTTAAATATATTTTCAAAATTTGACAGTGGAATAGTGTCGAGTAAACAAAGGTTTTTCAATGCCCTCTGATTGGTCTGCGATAAAATTAAGTATTTACCTGGTTTGATTCTTAGCTGTCGAAGGCGTGGCATTCCAACAAGGAACATTTTTCTGTTCTTTAAAAACCCTTCAGGCTCCGAAAAAGGTTGAGCATTATACCACTGTACCTCGAACATTTTTGGTATAGCTTCATCTTCAATCCATTTCCAAAACGATTTGTTGTCTTTTACCTGTTTGAAACAAAAGTTATATCAATTTCGAGTATTCAGTTCGCGCTGATGTTGAATGCAGACTGAGCAAATGACTGATTTCCAAAGAAAGAAAAAAATTTAATGCTCAGCGCTTTTCTCCAAGTCCAATAATTGTTTTCTTTACTCGGTGAATTGTTAATTGATTTTGAGGGATTTTTGCTACCTTTTTTCCGTTATTTTCCAAACGTCATTTGTAATCAACATCACACACAGTCACAGTAATCACAGTCCACTGTGCACACTCGAATACCTGCGCAAAGTTATGACATTTATTATCTGTCCGGAAAATTCTATCACTTTTTACTGTAGAAACTTAAACAACCAAAAGGGCATAACAATTAATGCCTTTGAATAAGGATTTCGTAGAATCTCAAATTTAGAAGCAAAATTATATAATAATTAGCAATAAAAATGTAGCCTAGCCTCAATATTGCCGCTCTTTGTGTTGCAGAAACAGAACTTGGGCTTCATGCTAAATTGCAAGCATTTTTCACAGTCTGTGGTACGTATTCGAGCATGCGGAGCAAGAMACCCGGGCCCTTAATCAATTTTGTAAAGGGGAGGAAGATTGAACATAGAGTTGATATACAGTCAATGTCATTAACCTTCCACCGAAAAAAGACATTTACACATTTACACATTTAGTCATTTAGACATTCAGACTAAAAGAAATATCACGTGTTTTCTCGAACGTTCTGGCATAAAACAAACGCTGAAATACCATTCTCCATCTTAAATCCTCACTAAATGGTCAATGCATTCCGGATCTTCTATTCACGAGTTGAATTTTAAATTTAAAATTCAGGCTGACGCACACGAGGCAAAGAATACATAATGAAGCACGTGATATTTCCTTTAGTCTAAATGTGTAAATGTGTATTTTTTTTTCGGTAGACAATGTTAATGACATTGACTGTATATCTGAAAATGGGGTTTTTCGTATTCACTGTACACTAACAGGCAGTTTTTTTTGGCCGCGCCATAATTTTGTATCGAAAAAAGTTTCTTAATAAAGCTACTGAAAGCCCACGACCAGTAGGGAAGAACATTGTTATATGCTCGTTGCATATGGTGAAACATATCATTACAACTTTGGGATACAGTGCCTTACCTCCCCAAAATTTGCAACCATACTTTTAATTGAATTTGAATTTACAGTAGGGAAGAACATTGTTATATGCTCGTTGCATATGGTGAAACATATCATTACAACTTTGGGATACAGTGCCTTACCTCCTCAAAATTTGCAACCATACTTTTAATTGAATTTGTCACCATAAATCTATTCGTATCTCGGTTACCGTAGCAGACTATAAACAGCAGTAAGATAAAAAGCAGATATAAAAGGTACTCCATGATGACACGCTTCAAGGCAGATGTTTTGGTTGCCAYATCTCTTGCTATGGCCAAGTCTTCTGTGGGTGGTATTTCTACTTTACGACATGAAACAAAGACACGTTTTTCAGAGATGTTGACCTCTTTATGATGATCTACTGGTTTCTTGATGATCATTGCTAGTAACGAAACTAATACGATAATTTTAATAGGCTGTATGAAAAGCACATCTTCAATGAAGGACATCATGATCGACGCTAACCACTGGTTAGCGATTTCTGCACCCCACATCAGACTGTAAAATATCGTAAAAGCGGAAGAAACTGCAGCACCAGAGATACACAGAAACCATGCAAAGAGTACAAATGGTTTTGAAATGAATCCTTTTACTTTCTTTTTAACTATGAGTAATTTTTCTTCTTCATCATCGTCTGCTTGATTTTGCTTCACATTCTCAAAAATTAAGACAATAAGAACACTTAGAGGAAGTACGATTATGCAACTTTGTAGGCTCGTTTTGATTCCTCTCACACTGACCTGGAAAGGTCCAACTAAAAATACGTCAGTAGGATTAGAATCAAATTGATAGAACATTGCATTGGTGACCATTGTGGCCATTAACACCAGGAAACAACACACAAGCCTCTGGCATCTGGTGAAAGGGCTGTGGATATTTCTTGTGAATACGGACAGCCATAAATGAGCGTTGGTAAATTGCTTTGCTGCTCTTGAATAGAAACGGTTTTTGAATTTTTTCACTTCCTTTTCTTCTGTAAGAAGAAAGTCAGCTGAAATTTTGTGATCACCTTTGTTTACTGCAAGCCAGCGATCAACCAAGAAGTACCAACGTTCTTCTTCATCCTCATCCGAAACAACCACGTCTTTGATAAACCAAGACGGATCTTCTCCAAAATTGTCGTGCCATATTTTTATCTTGAATAGGTCATTAAGGTTTGATTGAAGGTTGATATAGAATATATTGACACTTCCCCTTGTAAACAGTCTTTTATCTAAATGCATATTATTAAAATATATTGGTTCGGAATAATCTCCAACACTGTAGAGTATCATGCCAACGTTAGCTGTGGTACCAGATCCTAACCATACGCCAGTGTGTATTGATATCTTGTAGGTTTTAACGCTACTATTTTTGTTACCGGTTGTTTCTACTCCACAGTTCACAATCTATAAAAAATATAAATAAATAAAAAATAAATAAATAATAAGTAATAATGATAATAACGTCTCTGATTAAAAAAAAGTATGGATTACAAGTCTTGAATATACAGCTTTGCGTAGTGATTGGTAGAGCGGGGATCGATAATGAGGTTTACCAAGATCGGAAGTAATACCGAACGTTTTTTAATCCTGGATTTCTTCTTTTCTCTGATATYCAAGCCTCAAATTATACTAAAAAGTTTATTCATCTCAAGCTTAGTGAATAAGTGAATATAAGGAGTATTTACCTCGCCGCTGGATGAATTTTAAAAATATTATAAATATTTCTGTGGAAACACTGGAAAATCTATATTGTTTCGCTTTGAGCTCCATTTGTAGTGGGGCGAATATGTGCAAAATTTAGGCCGAATTGTTCACTTTTGGCTTAAAAACACCAAATGTATTGAAAATTCAAGCAAAATATCTGCCCCGCTCTGTTGTTTTTGATTGGTGCAAAATATCACGCCATAAGCGATGCACTTGTTTATTTTCACGATTATTGTAACGTGCAAGCCATTTCCCGACCGGGAAATAAGTAACTTATTTCCCGGTCGGGATACATTTAGATTTAACAGTGTCACGTGCTCATCTTTCACCCAATGAGAGTTTTCGTTATATCGGAAAATTTCGTAGCTATATAACAATCCCCTATATTCACTTCGCTTTCGGCGAATAATTGTTAACTAAAATATCTATCACGCAGTTCCACATACAGGATCAAGTGAGGGTCACCTTTAGTTTGTCATAAGTATCAGCCCTTCTTGCCATTATAAGACCAACAGCAAAAACGCCCCACATCAGTAGAACTGTTGACAGAACTACAAAGTTTCCTGACTCTTTTAAGCGAGCGAATTCGATCAGTACTTTGTCAAATTCAATTGGGTTTGGAGCTATTACAACATCACCTCCAAAAGCCGTCAGATGGTGACATAAACAATGTACTTGGTTGTATGAAGATTTGGTGCCGAGCTTAGAGGAAAAAAAGGAGCAAAAGATAGATTAATAAAAAATCATCAAAATGGTGATTGTTTTTCAACGATTACGTTAGAGACGGAAGTAACTACATGTAACAGTGTTTCTCTGGTCTGTCCATCTGATTGAATGAGGCGCCAAGAATGAATTTAATAATAATAATAATAATGATGATAATAACAATGATAGTAATAATAATAATAGTATTAATAGTAATAATAATAATAATATTTTAAATTAACAATCAGTAACTTATTAAATAATGCATTATCGTAGGATCCTAGCCAAAGAATGTAATCATATGAAAATCTATATATACAATATCTATATATATTTCAACAAATTAATAAATAAAATAATAAAAAGAAAAGAAAAAAGAGAAAAAGAAAAGCTATAACAAAATATACTAT